ACTGTCACAAAAGCAATAAGATACCAAACATGGGAGCCAGTTGCAATGCCAGAAAATAGAAACAGAACAATTAAGATTTAAGATATGATGATATCTCATTGTGGTTTTGATTTGCATTTCTCCAATGATCAGAGATGTTGAGCATTTTTTATATGTTTGTTGGCTATTATTCTGTCTTTTGAAAAGTTTCTGACCTAACCCCAGTGAGATTGGCCTCTATCAAAAAATCCCAAATCAACAAATGCTGACGTGGATGTGGAGAGACAGGAACACTCTTACACTGCTGGTGGGACTGCAAATTAGTGCAGTCTCTGTGGAAAAGAATTTGGAGATATCGCAAAAGCTAAAAATAGAAATACCATTCGATCCAGCAATAGCACTATTAGGCATCTACCAAGAGAACAAAAGATATTCTATAATAAAGACATTAGCACCCAAATGTTTATGGCAACAAAATTCACTATTGCAAGGATGTGGAAACAACCCAAGTGCCCACCAATACGTGAGTGGATTATTAAAATTTGGTATATGTATACAATGGAATATTACTCAATTATGAGAAACGAAAGTGATCTAGCACCTCTTGTATTTTCCTGGATTGAGCTTGAGTCTATTATCCAAAGTGAGATAACACAAGATTGGAAGAATAGGCTCCACATGTTCTCGCCATCAAATTGGCACTGACTGTTTAACACTGTGGTGCTTAGATAGTAGTAATATTCTCCAGGGATTGGGGAGGAGGGGTGGGGCGTAAACTCACAACTAAAGGACATGGTGAGCATTGTAGAGGGGAAGAGCTTGCCTGTAACTCTTGCTAGAAAGAGGCAAAGACATGAAATGTAACCAAAAGGTTTGTACCCTCATAATATCCTAAAATAAATAAATAAAATAAAATAATTTTTTAAAAAGGGTGATGGGCACACTTATAGCTGTGAACCAAGAAATACAAAAGCAATTCATGTAACCCAAACCATTTGTATATCCTTAAACAAAACAAAACAAAAACAAAGCAACACAAAAAAAATCCTTGATTTTTGGTAAATGTTGAATAGAACTAATAAATATGTATAGCATATATAAATTATAATAACATACAATGAAACTATCATACAATTTACCCATTATTTAGCTGACCAAAACAAGTAACACTATTTTTAAGGCTTCCTGCATGCCCCTCCTTAACCCAAGTCACTGCATTCCCTTATTGGAGATAACCACTGCCTAAAAGATGCTGCTTAATATTGTCCCACATCTTTATAGTCTTTATAGTTTTACTACATTTTTGTATCATTAAATAATAGATTATTTAATTGTGAATTTTAAAGTTTTATACAATTTTACATGATGAATTTCTGCTATATTATTTTATGGTTTACTTCTATTACTCAACATTATGTTCCTGAGATCCATTCAAGCCATCGAGTATAGCTGTAAATTATTTATTTTCTCAGTTGTATATTATTCTATCATATGAATATGCTCTGATATATTGAGTCATTCTCAAATATTGCACACTTGATTTTTTGTGCTACTGCTATGTTATTGTTGAAAATAATCTTATACATATTTTTTGTTGCAAACATGGAGGATTTTTTGAGTGTGTACCTATAAGAATGAGAAAACACTGGGCATAGGGTACATGTAGTCTCAAGTTTACTAGCTTATGTTAAATCATTTTTGAAATGCACTGAATAATCGTTTTCAGATTGTTTTTCATCCTTGCTAACAGTTAATATTGTGAGATTTAAAAATTATTTTCTATCTGGTGAGTATGAAATAACTCAGTTATTTTAATTTGCATGTTCTTGATTACTAATAAAGTTAAGCATATGTTCATATGTTAAAAAAAGACTGAAGATATGGGAATAGATGTATCATGATATTATTGTTTAAAAAGATAACAGATCATTTTAAAGCATATACAATCACAGGAACAAAAAAGACTAAATAGTAGGCAGACGACCACATAGAACCTGAAAAGTGACAAATCCACCACGCCTGAGGAGTTACGCCGGACATCTCCCTTTGGTGAGCGCAGCCCTCAGAGGTCTTCACACGGGATCCCAAGTCATAGCACAGACAGAAGCCCCATGCAAGCTTGGAAGTTTCATGACCCTAATTGGAGCCAAGATGTTTTATAACAATGTCTGGTACAGTTCCTGGCTCCTGGCAAACGTTGTTTCTAGTTATAAGAATCATCGCAATCAGAGAAGTATAATGTAACAAATAGAATACATTTTACATATTATTCTGAGATGGGCTATTCCTCTTCTCTCACACCTAATGTGCTTGTAAACTTCCTGGTGAATATAAATACACCCACCTTGAATGTGCTATTCAGCCGAGTTCAGCTGTCTGCCTACTATTTGCAACACCTGAATGTTTCCTTCTGGCAGCCATGGCATGTGATTGTTTTGTGGCAATCTGCAATGCACTGCGTTATGCAACCAAAATGTAAACACAAGTCTGTGTCCAGTTACTTGTAGTAGCTTACACAGGTGGTTTTCTTAACACCTCCTCCTTTACCTTTTCCTTCTTTCCTTTATTCTTCTATGGACCAAATAGTGTCGTTCGTTTTCTCTGTGATTTTGTTTCTTTAATGGGACTCTCCTGTTTTTTATTTTATTTTATTTTATTTTATTTTTTTATTTCAGGGTATTATGAGAGTACAAACATTTTGGTTACATTTTATGTCTTTGCCTCTCCTGAGCAAGAGTTACAGGCATGCCCTTCCCCTTTACAATGCTCACCATGTTCTTTAGTTGTGAGTTTACGCCCCACCCCACCTCCCTAATCCCTGGAGAATATTACTACTATGTCACCAATCCTGTAAAAAGTTCTTCTGAGAAAAGATAGTAAAGAAGCCCTTTCCAAGTCATTTTTATATTTGTATAGCCGAACCTGAAAATTTTGTTTCAAGAGTGGAAAATGACAGGTAAAACTTTCTCATGAACATAGATGCAAACATCCTGAAGAAAATATTAGTAAAAGAAATTCAATGATAATAAAGTTTATTAAAAAGCAACCCAAATTAGATTTATTTCAGGTATTCTAGATTGATTTAATAATTAACATATGAACATTAATCAAAGTGGGATTTTCATCTCTGAATTGAGAAATAGAATTATGAAAAAAAACACATTTGATCACACCTTAACAAGAAAAACCTAGGCAAAATGAAAATCACATTTATATATGCAATGAACCACAGATAGTGGATTCATGGAAACTTTGATGAGCTCATATGTCCATAGGAGTTTGTATACCTGACAGCAGGTGAGTAGTTTGGCCTGCTGCACACTGGGAGACTGAAGGAATGAGGAGGAATCAACCAGTCCTTAGATGACATTGTAGACCACCTGGACAGGTCGAAATTGAGAAGAAATGCAAGTACAAGAAAAAATCATTTCACCCAACAATAGCCTCCAAGGAATTTACCTAGAAATGAGCATCAGAGGAGGAGCTGGTACAGAGAGAAATTGCATAGTCCCACACAGTCTCACAGTAAATGGATGTGTGGGCCTTGCCTATGTTGAATTCATAGGTAATTTAAAACAAACAAAAAAAGAAACCTAAAGTTCCATCCCCAACCTGAATTTCAGAAGTATAATGCTTCTAGAACAAAACATGAGAGAATATCATTGTGACCTTGGATTAGGCCACTAGATTTCCTGAAGTTGTCATCAAAACATTAACCATTAAAGAAAAGATTGTTAAATTGGATTTCCTTAAAATTAAAAACTTTTGTTCATCAGAAAATACAATTAAGATTGTGACAAGACAAACTTCAGAATCAGAGTATAACAAATCTGATAAAGGACTCATGACAGATTACAATAAGAACAAATCAATAAGAAAAGTACAATCTAAGAATAAAACTGGCAAAAGACCTGAAAAGACATTACACAAAAGAGGATATACAAATGGCTGATAGATGCATTTATTAAAATGTTCAAGATGAAAAGTTTAAAATAATGAGAGTGAACACTGCCTGATTACTTCATTGTAAAAACTGGTGTCTCCCCCTGAATTCTATGGTGTCATCCTTTAAAACACTGTGGACAAATAATTTCATCCACCAGAGTGCTGAGTGTCAAGGATTTCTTTAAACTAGTTCCTTCCATATTGTCTTTGTATCCCTGACTGTTTGCAAAGGTTATGCTTTCACCAATTTATATGCCAGGACCATTGAATTGGGTACCTAATATGAAGAAGTGACAGAAGTAGTGGCAAGACCTCTTAAGAGACATTACAAAGAAGGATGGCAGCTGTATTCCAGGCCTGCATCAGCCTGGGTGTCTCAGTCAATAATTTTATTCCCTGGAAATACCAACTGGCTTACTGAAAGAAAGCTCCACTGTGCCTGGGCTCCTCCCCACCAGCACCACGTGGGAGACTTCCCTACTATTCAAAGGCTTGTCCGATAAACCCTCAGAGTTCCTTCTGTGCTACCTGGATTGAGTCTTCTGGTGGAAAAATTGTGAAATAAATTCTTTTGGTTTAGTTTATAGTCGATGGAAATAAAGTTTTCTAAGATGCCAGCATCACTATTTACAAAGATTTGGATAATCCTGTGTAAAAGAGGCCAGGTCTTCCAGAGAATGTGACCAGGGAATGTCAGCACTAACATCAATTGCAATTCCATCGAATACATGATACTTTCCAAGATGCTAATGTATGACATTTAAAAATATATAATAGTTAACTGAAGAAGAAAACACACTCTCTAATCATAGATGCCCTAAATAATGGCAGAGGAGAGAAAAACTGAAACTATATTGTCCAGGTATCATAACCCTAAAATATACACATTTAATTTGAACACAGTAGCTTTTTATAAAAATGATATATTCTGTTACTCTATAAAATTATAAAGTGGAAATTAATGAGCATACTGGTATTGTAAGTTTAAGATAGTTCTTCTCATAAAACAAGGCTACTAGACAACATAAACATCCAACACATATTTTCCTAAAACTACTGTTTTACAATTTCTGGACTCACATTGGATTTCTTTCAAATGAGGAATGTATTCTCACTATCAGTTTTCTCATGGCCTCTTTCACTTCCTTGTTCCTCAGACTGTAGATCAGAGGGTTCAGCATGGGGATTATTACTGTGTATAACACAGACATAACTTTAATATGATCATCTGAGTGGCTTGACTTTGGTATAACGTAAACAAATGTAACTGTCCCATAGAACAGAGTGACCGCAGTGAGGTGGGAAGTGCAGGTGGAGAAGGCCTTGTGCCTTCCCTCAGTGGAGCGCATCTTCAGGATCGAGTGGAGGATGTACACATATGAAACAATTATGATAAACAATGTGATCACAATGATTGACCCAGCTGAGACAGCAGGAGATATTTCAGCAATATAAATATGGGTGCAAGAAAGCTTCACTAGTGGTGGGAGGTCACAGAAGAAATGGTTGATTTTGTTTGGTCCACAGAAAGTCAAGCTCAATAAGCAGCCAATAAACGATGAAGAGTTCACACAGCCACCCACATAGGCAGCAGCCAACAAGATGATGCAGACCCTGGGAGACATGCGTGTGGAGTAGAGAAGTGGGGAGCAGATGGCCGCATAGCGATCGTAGGCCATGGCGGCCAACAGGAAGCACTCGGCCGTCCCAAAGACAACATCAGAGCCAAGCTGGGCTATACAGCCAGCAACAGGGATGGCAATTCTATCCCTTACGAAACTCACAATCATGATAGGTGTGACTGATGAGGAATAGCCGATGTCCACAAAGGCCAAATGACTGAGGAAAAGGTACATAGGAGTGTGGAGCTGAGGGCTTCTTCGGATTAACATGATTATGCTGCCATTGCCCAATATCGTAACAATGTAGATTCCTAGAAAGACCACAAAGAAGACTGAACAAAGAGTAGGATCCTCTGTTAACCCCAAAATAATGAACTCTGTCACCATTGTGCCGTTTCCAGTCTCCATCCTTCTTGGAATGGTACCTATTGAAATAAAAGCCAGTGGATATTAGAATAAATTAAACAATCTCATAATCAATATATTTATTTAAACATTCAGTCTACTAAAAATAGAAATGTAGATATTATTTTTGTCTAATGCTTATACTTCCCCAAATGTTTCTAATCATGTTGCATGAAGCATGATTTCAGAATATTAATATCCATTATGCTAAAGCCACAGATACCAAGGGACAAATGACTCAGATAAAGTACATGGCTAGCACTCACACTGAGTTATTTGATCAACTCAGGTTGTTAAAAGACACTTACAGTGATGATGTTTTGAGAACCTGATGGGAACAAGAATTTTCAAAGTAACTGAATTTATGTTACCATTTAGCCCTATCCAATTTGTCTCTATTTCCCAGGCATATTGGAGACCACACTCCCCAGCCCCCTTGCAGTTAGGTAAGGCTGTGAACAGTACATGCCAATGGGCTATGAGAGGATATTTTGTGTCTCTCTTCAGTATCAAATTAAATGGCCAGTGGGCAGTTCTCTCTTCTTCCATAGCCATGCATTTTACATGACACAACTATAATATTGTGGAACCTCCCACTAGCCTGGGTTTTTAGTGAATGTGGGCAGCAAAGTATATATTGAAAATATATTGGAAGTGAGAAATAAATCTATGTTATGTTAGACCACACTTAATTTCCAGGACTAATTTGTCAGAACAGTGTAACATCACCTAATCTGGTTAATACCATTACAGATTAGCTGTAAATAAAAGCTGCTTGTAGATTAATCCTGAGAGCAACATGAGAAATAAATCCACTTTGGGTCATTAATTGTACTTTAGGTCATGTACAGTCCTAACAAAAAGAAATACTTTTTGTAATAATATATTAAAGAGATACCCATTGAAATATGTTTAAAAAGTTAAATGTTTGTATTATGCTGGCCATGTTAGAGCAACAGAGTAATACATAAGTAGAAGGAAATTGAGAAGTCAGTGCATTTAATAAAAAATTAATTAGTACGTTTAATCATGAAAATGCAAAAAATAAAAAAATGAAGGCATATTTACATCCTAAGCAATCTGTGAATATGGACTATATTAAAACATTCTCAAGAAAACACTTGGATAAACTGAAAGCTTAGACATATTAAAATAATTCACAGAATGCAGAAGTGAGCTTCCATGTAAAAAAGAAAATCCCCACCAACCAAAAATAATGAGAGTTGATAATCACAAAATAAGCTGAAGCAGAACTGCAACTGTCCTAGAGACATTTGCCAAACTCTACAACTAAGGATCTTATGTTTTAATAGCTTTGAAGACATTGATGAAGGTAACAGTTTGGGAACGTACAAGTTGGTGAGTTGAGACTGAGACTCCCATGCCCTCCTCCCATGTGCCTACATATAATGCAAGAATCCTTGCCTTCAACCTCAGTGGAATGTCAGTTTTTAAAATATCCTCTTATTAGCCAAGAGAGATGAGAAAGAAAATTTTATGTCTCAGTCTAATCCTTGGGAAAGAGAAAAGAACCCATAAATCTCCTTTCCTAAGAATTAATTATAATTAGTCTATCTTGATGAAGGTTTGGGATTTGAATTTACAGTTCTTATTTAGTCTAAAACCCCAAATTCTGAATTATCATAAAGTTGTCATGTATTGGCAATAATATAGGATATGTTACTATAATATATTAATATTATAAACATATCGGTATTATAAAGTGATAAATTAAAGATATGTCTGTGACAGCTTAATGATGACTGCAATGTTTGTTCTACTACTCCGACTGAAGAAGGCATCTAATTACTCTCCACTTGGATTTAAGTAGGACTTAGTGACTTGCTTACAAAGCAGAAATGATATGCTGGGATTTCTCAGTCTAGGTCGTAAGAAGCCATGGAGCTTCTATTTGGGATTACTAGAGCACTCATTTTGGGACTGTCTCTCTGGGGACACAGCTGTCATGCTGTGAGATGGCTTAGGCTTCTCACTTCTCACAAGGTGTGGTTGCCCACAATGTCAGTTGACAGCTACAACTGAAGTCCAAGCATATATCTCCCCATCAACGACTAGCCCAGCCCAGGCATGAGAGTGGAGACCCATCTGGGAAGTGGATTCTGCAGTCACAGCTGCCCCAAGTGATGCCACATGGATCATAGCCAAACCTAGATGAGTCCTTCTCAACTCCCTGATCCATAAAATTATGAAGAATAAATAAAATGGGTCTTCAAAACCATGTTTTGGTATAGTTTATCAGCAATAAATAACCAAACATTGCCTAAAAGAGAAAATGCCAATCCAATTTGGATAGACACCTTTAATACTACTCCCAAAAGATCAGAAATTGATAAAGCCACACCAAAAGTGAATGCACAGTCCAAAATTCTCACACACAAGAAGAAATAAGCCACCATGAGAAAGTTTTAGCACAAATAAGAAATGAGGAATTAATATCTCACATTCTAGATGGTAGAATTATCTAAAACAGAATACAAAATTATATTTAAAATGATTAAATAAATAAAATATAATATTAAAAATCAGAGCATGGATCAAGACACTATATTTTTCAAAGCAAATTTTATATAAGAATGAAAAAGAACTACTAGAAATGAACAACATTGTCATTTAATTGAAACTGAAGAAGTAGGTAAGTAGAAGGTTAGATATGGGTAAAAAGAATTGTAACCTGGAAACAGATATAAAGATGTTTTTGAGAAACCTATTTTTAGAAGCAAAAATAATTGAATAGGTGAAAGAGATATTAATATAGAAAATTGAATGAGAAGGCCCATTTTCACATTCAATGTGAGTTTCAGAAGAAAAAACTTAGAAAAAATAGGGGAGAGGTAGTTTTTGAAATAGACAAAGGCTGAAAAAAGCACAAATAATAACGATTAGAGTAAATGCAGAGATATACTAGTATAATAAAATTGAAACAATAGCAGGACAAAGAAAAAACACTTAAGTTATCCCATATTAAAATATAATAACCTATGAAGACATTACAATTAGACCAACAGCAAACTCTATATCAGTAACAATAGAAGCCAGAAGACACTGAAATAATAAAGTAACAAATTAAAAGTTAAAAGACTTGAGAGGAAAATAATGATATAATAATGACCAGCAAGATAAGCTGAAGCAGAACTGCAATCATCTAGAGACATTTGCCAAACTGTACTTCAGCATGAGAAGAATAAATACAAAGAAAAAATAGCAATATTTACCACAAACAGAACAACACTAAAGAAAATTCTTAAAAAGTAAAGAGAGAAGGAAAATGAATCAGAAGGAAGGTTTTTATATGCAAGAAGTAGTGTGTAAATATATTGGCAAATATATGGGTAATTATAGATAAACATTGAATGCATAATAATGACAATAACAGTGATTAATTGTAGGGCTGAGGTCTCCCTTTCCTTTCTGGCTATCAGCTTACAGAGGCCCCCTGTATTCCAGGTCACATGACCCCTGCCATTTTCAAAGCCAGCAGCAACACACCAATTCCTTCCTGTACTTCCTATCTCTCTGATTCCTTTGTTGGCTGCCAGAGAACATGCTCTGTTTTTAGAGCTTGCCTCACTGGGTCAGGCACATACAGAAAATCTCCATGTTTTAAAGTCAGCTGATTTGGGACTTGAATTGCATCTGTAAAATCTCTTCATGGCAGCATAGATTAGTGTTTGATTGAAAAGTCAGGGGATAGGAATCTTGGGATGATCTTTAGAATTCTGTCTACCACAAGGTTAAAGAATTCTAAGGTTCTTGTTTTGAGAGAAGGCTAAAGATATTTTTGAAATACTATGGAGTATGTTGAAAGTTTAGGGATGTGTTAGAGAATAGAAATTGAATATATAATTTTCAAACTGGTATCAAAAATTAAAAGATTTTAAAATTTAATTTAATGCAAAAGAAGCAAAAAACTAGAAATCAATGAGAGATCGAAAGCAAAGTAAATAGAAAGAACAAAATACAATGGGGAAATCCAAAGAAATCAGCAATCATAATAAATTAAAGTGGTCTGTCAAAAGATAAACAGTATTCATGTAGGATTTAAAAAATGTAAATTTTCTTTATACTCTATTTACAAGCGAGATCATGATACCATAAAGGATCAGAAAGGTGGAGAGTGAAAAGAAGAAAAGAGGCTGGCGTGGTGGCTCACACGTATAATCCCTTTGAGGCCAGGAGTTGGAGAACAGCCTGAGCAAGAGCAAGACCCCATCTCTACCAAAAAAACAAAAAAACAAACAAACACAAAACAAAACCAAAAAAGGAAATATTAGCTGGTGGCAGTGGCCTGTGCCTTAGTCCCAACTACTCAGGAGGCTGAGGCAGGAGAACCACCTGAGCCCAGGAATTTAAGGTTGCAGTGAGCTATGATGACTCCACTGCACTCAAACCCAGGCAACAGAGTGAAACCCTGTCTCAAAAAAAGAAACCAAAACTACTATCAAATATAAAACAATACTTTAAAAGTACTATCAAACATCAGAAGCCTGCTTTTTGAGGGAGAAGGTTTATTATTGTTTCTAGAGAAACTGAATTGACCATGTGTAAGTCCCCTAAATAGCCAAATGGAATACTTAGTACTTTTTGAAAGATCATAACATTTAAAAAATCTCTTCACAAAATATACAGGTGAGTAACTAGCAGTCTTGTATCCCTAGTCAACCTGACTATGACAAATATGCTTTATGCAGTGACGATTAATTCAACATGATTTGATCAATTTATCACATGAATTAACTTGATATAGTGAAAGAATGCTAAATCTCTGATTTTATTAATTATTCCCAGGCTTGCATTAGAGGTTTAAAAAACACAAATCTGGAATAAATCTTGTATTTTTGTATGAAAATATATACATGAAATACTCAAATGAATTCAAAACACGGTATGCGTGCCAACCAGTATAATATGTGAGACATGCCATACAGTGCTATAAGGACAATAAAATAAAATTCCAGCCCAAAGTTCTGGGAATACATTCCAGG